ACGAGTTATTTGTTTGTCATAGTGTAATTATAGTGTAATTACAAGTTTACTATTTGGTTGCACAAGTGTAATTACACAGTTGAATTAAATTTTAAATGAAATAATTATCAAAACTTAAAAGTTAATATAATAAATATATGTCTATAAATAATTTTTTATAAGCATAAATGATATTAGATTTGGCATTTAAGATGTAAATATTTTCGTGAATATACATTAATTAGCAATCATATATTTATAACTAATATTGTGGAAATAATTTATATATATTTTTCAATTTAATAATGTTTAGTTTAGTTACTTACAGTAACTAAAAATATATGTTTTGTAAGAACATCATGAAATTCATGTTTGATAAAATAAATTTATACTTATAAATATAATGTCCTAACATTATTCAAATATTTGACAAAACTAATTTATCAATTCTAACTAAAAAATGAACAACATGCNCTTAATACCCAAACAAAGGTTTTGCATGTCCTTTTCCAAAATAGCTTCAACAAAAAGAGGTGGACGTGCATGGCGATAACATTTCTCCGGCTTGAAATTCTTAACTGCTTCCTTAGCTAGGCAATTTGCTACTGCATTCCCTTCCCTAAAATTGTGTCTGATCACCGGGGATTTCAGCTGTCGCATTAAGGATCTGCAATTGAGTAAACATGCATTAGTACTGCTATTTTCTTCAAAAAGCATTTTTATTACATATGTTGAGTCTGTTTTGATTTGTATATTAGCAAAAGGCATCTCCACAACTAGTTTTAATCCTTCCTCTAATGCTAATAGCTCAGCCTACATGGGGTTATAAGTGTAACAAGATTTAGTGAAGCCCATGATCCAATTACCGGAGCTATTTCTGAAAACTCCTCCTAAACCTGCATGGAGATTATTTTTCAAGAAGGCCCCATCAATGTTTAGCTTAATCGTGTTTGGAGGAGGTTTTTCCGAGAGGATTTTTATCATGACAGAACAGTTTAGTATGATATTTTTTCAGTAAAGAAGAGGAATTCCCATATTTGATGAAAAACCTGTCTAGGGTTTATATCCATATCAAAATTGTTAATGTTGCTGTTATTCCTATTCCTCCAAAGGTTCCAAATCGAAAAAGGGAGGATACTCTTCCAAGAGTATTGCTGATGGTTGGCATTGCTATGGGCATTCCATAGAGAAGTTAGCCAGTTTGATTGATCAATATTGTAGTTAATAGTTAGACCAATACTGGACCAATAACGGGTAGCTATAGGGCATAGGAGAAAAATGTGAGTGGCATCCTCAGGTCCTTGTTTGCACATAGGGCAGGTGGGATCAATATTGATAACAATGTAGATGAGATAAGATCTACAAGGGATTTTATTGTCCATACATTTCCAAAGAAAGAACTTGATTTTAATAGGACAATGGAGATCCCAAATCCAGTTAAAGTCAGTCTCCTTATCATGAGTCGATACATGGTTATCCTCTAAAAGTTTGTAGCAAGACTTGGTAGAAAATATACCATTACTATTCGAGTCCCAGGTCATTAGGTCTTTGGTCATTGAGCTTAATGGGGTTGGAGTAGCCTTGATCTTATTAATAAGGCAAGGGGTAGATCAAATGAAATTTTTGACATATTCCATTGATCATTACTAATAATTTGATTGAAAGAGATTGAGTAGTCTAATTTATTAAGAAGGCCTTGTATACAATTCCTAAGGGTAGGGGCATGCTGTATCCATCTATTCAACCAAATGTCAATATTAGAGTTTTTGCTAGGATGCCACAACAATCCTTTGGAAAGGAATTTATAACCTTTCAAAATGGCTGTCCAGATGAAAGAACATTTAGAAGTAGTTTTCCTATTGGCATATTTACTAGCAATTAGCTGAGCCCATGGGTTATTAGGAAAATTTATAAGGCGCCAGCTAAGGCTAGTGAGGAGGACCTAATTTTTTTCTCCAGCAGAGTGAATTCCTAAACCTCCTTCAGATTTGTGCTTAGTGACAGTTTTTCAATTGACTAAGTGGATTTTTCTCTTAGTATTAGTGCTACTCTATATGAAATCTCTTTGGATCTTTCAAGGTTGATGATGCTAAGGTGGTTCTTCCCGCAGTGTTAAGGAGATTAGTTTTCCAGAGGGAGAGTTTGGCATGCATTTTGTCAATGACAAATTGAAAATCCTTAGGCTTTGACTTGAGATTTAGGATAGGAAAGCCAAGATAGTTTTCCAAATTCAAAACTAGCCCTTGTGTTAAATAGGCTAGCTAAATGATTTGAAATGTCACGGGGACACTTCTTAGAAAACACAATTCTAGACTTAGAGTAATTTATAGACAGCCCTGTTTCATCCATAAATAATTCAGGCAATGATGAATGCAATTACCTGTCTTATTATTAGCCTTACCCATTAAAGTTAAATCATCGGCAAAGAAAAGGTGTGAGAAATAGGGACCTTTGGGGCTAATTTTTATGGGATCCCATCTCAAAGTATCTACTTGGTTATCAATTAATCTAGACATAAGTTCCATACATAGAATAAATATGTATGGTGACAGAGGGTCCCCTTGACGGATACCTCTACTTGGTTTCAAAAAATTAGTCTTCGTACCATTTACAAGCACACTAATATTGCTAGTGCAAATATAGTGCATAATAAACTTAGAAATTTAAGGAGGAAAGTGAAAGAAGACTAAGGTTTTGTGAATAAAATCTCATTCTAACTTGTCAAAAACTTTTTGGAGGCCGATTTTTAACAACGGGTCATATTTAGAACTATTTGTAGAGGACATGTTGTTAATAATTTCCTGAATAACAATGGCATTATCATTAGCCCTTCTATTTTTTAAAAAACTCGACTGGGTAGGGCTGATAATGACTTATAGGAATTGTTTAAGTCTATTAACCAAGATTTTTGTAATAATTTTGTGCACCGTATTACAAAGCCCGATAGGTCTGAAATTCTTTAGGTCAGTGGCATTGTCTATTTTTGGAATTAGGCACAAGTAAATATCATTGATACCCTTAGGAAGAAATTGTGATTCAAAGGCTTCTTGGCAAAATTTTATCACTGAATTACCAACTATGTTCCAATACTTTTGGTGAAAAAAAGGATGAATACCATCCGGACCCGGAACTTTAAAGGGTTTGAATGAAAAAATAGGTTTCCTAACTTCTTCCTTTGTAACCGGGTTATCAAGGATGGTTAAATCAATATCATTAGAGTAACAATAGTTATTATTGAAACAAGACCTCTTGCTACTTATTTTAGAAGTCTTATAAGAGTCACTAAAATAATTGTAAGTATACTCTAGTATGGCTTTGGCATCAGTAACCCAATTACCATTATCATCTTTAAAATATAATATAGAATTAACACATTTTCTATTAGTAGCCATGCTATGGAAGAAGCAAGTGTTAGCATCACCTTCATTACACCAATTAATCCTAGAACGAAGCTTCCAAAAGTCTTCTTCCATTTTTAAAAGGGCATTATACTCTTGTTGGAGAGTAGTTTCCAAGGTCATTAAAAAAGGACTGGTTTGATACTTAGGATAGGTCTGAATTCCTTGAAGTCGTGCCAACAAAATTCTTTTTTTCTTAAAGATATCTCCAAAGCCAGCTTTAGGAAGATCATTCGAAAGCCAGCTAGTCCTAACTAAGTTTATAAAGTCAGGATGTCTACACCATAAATATTCAAATTTAAAGGGTTTTCCATTACGAAATCTATTATTGGGGTTTAATTGGAGTAACAAAGGGTTATGATCAGAGTGTGTTTTAGGAAGATGGATAACCATAGCTTTTGGATGAAGACTTGTCCAGGAATCATTTAAGAAAATTCGATCTAAATGTTCCATGATTAATTTATTAGATTTCTTACGGTTGTAAGTTCAAGTGTACTTACAATCTTTAAAACCAAGATCAAATAGGTTACAGTGATTAATACTAGACCATAAACGGGAACTACGTCTATTATTAATACTCCTACCTCCAAATTTATCATTGGTGCTAAAAATATTGTTAAAATCACCACCCAAGAGCCAAGGACCTTTATAGTTGTTATAAATTCCTTCAATATTATTCCAAAGATCATTTCTATTAGCTACTTTAGTACTAGCATAGATAGAAGAAAACAACCAAGAAATATTCGATGGACGCACCTCAATGTTGGCATGTATCTCTTGGTTTCTTCTCACAAAATCCTTCACTGCAATCACATCTGATTTCCATAGTATAATTATTCCCCTAGATTGTCCCTCAGCAGGGACTTCGATCATTTGAGTGAAGGGAAAATCAATAAGAAGGGAAACATGATTTTCCATACGTGTTTCCAGAAGGGTTACAACACTTAGGTTGTGAGTATCAATCATTTCCCTAAAGTTTACCCTAAAGGTGTTATTATTACCACCTCTTATGTTCCAAATGATGAAGTTAACATTTTGAGACACATATTATGGAGGGTAGGGTTATGCAAGTTACCATTGTCCCTCATTCTCTCCGGAGGGGGAGTTGGATTCCTTCTTATCGAAGGCACTAGGATCATTGCATGGCTCCCCACAGTAAGGTCCTGTGGAGGCCTGACATCTATCGAAAACTTGTAGAGAGTTGAGGGACAGCTAAGCATGTATCTCTTCTCGCGCATTTTCCAGAATAGATAAACCTTTACATCGTTTAGACTTGAAAACTCTAGGATTTGGTCGGACCCCAGCAAGTTCAGCTCCTCTACATCCTCTATTGGTTGATCTTCTGGTTCGGGTTGATTGGGAGGAGCTTGATATTGTTGTGGCATATTATTTTGGTCTAATGGACCGTTTGGTTGAGGATTGTTTGCATGTGGAGGAACTTCCATTTGGTTGGCCATCTGGATCGTTGCATAGGTGTTTGGTATGGTCCATGGCATAAAAATTGGGTTCATGTTCGAGATCTCCCCCAGAGGAAAGATTGGAAGTTCCATTTGCATGTTCTGAGTTTGGATTGGGTTGAAATAGGGTGGGAGACTCCACTAATTTCTCATAGACTGAACTAGGTTAGAGTTCATGGATGGAGCTAGGGGATGGAGTTTGTTGTTCAACCATACATGGTTGAAGTAGTTGCTCATTGCCATATGCATCCCCTCTGATATTAGCTCGGCAAGGAAGTGAGAGTTTTGAAGCACAATAACTGTCTCTTGTCCGTCCAGTATCATGTTGAATGATATTGCATGCCCCATCAAAGCTTGCTCTATCCAGGAGAGGGGCTGGTGATCTTGGAGAAGAGGGGATTGGACAAAGTATATTTGGTTGGTCGTTTGGGCTGCTAGGGGAATCAGAGGGTTGACCATAGTATGTGCTCTTTGATGCCTTAAGATTTGGACTAGGCGATAGCGTCTTCGTTGAGATACTGGAATTCTTGGCATAATTGTTTGTAGAGGAGTGATTTATATTAAGGGGAGTGTAAGGGCTTTCTGAAGAAGAAACTATGGTTTCTAGAGTTTTAGTTGGGATAGTACTTATTACCTCTAGTTGCATGCTTATGAGGTTGCTTGAATTGTTGGTATTAGAAAGATTTGGAGAAGATTGAGTTTCTGAAATGTGTAGGATTTCTTTTACCATTTGTTGGCCAACGGGCGGCGGCGAGAG